CGTAAATCATTGTAAATGTCGAGTGAGAGTAATTACGCACGACTCGTGCAACTGCTTGCTAATGAGTTGCTAAGCTGTGAGCTTAGTTTCAAGCAGATCATACTGACCTATTGATGTCGTCTGAAAAGTGTTGACATACTTGTAGTTTGTGATATGAGAGTAAGAAAACACCTGCTTAGCAGGTGATCTGAGCAAAAAATAAGCTCCTCATGAATTATTTAGAAACTTTATACAAAGAACGGGGATGTTTGGAGCATGCAGCTTTGACTTATTTAAAAGGTTTGAGATTTTTTGAAATGTATTTTCTATTTCAGGCTTCGAGGAACAACCTTAGTGCAATCTCCATTTCCTTGTTTTTAGAATTTCTTCAATCTTGAGTTTTTTTATTGCGATTCAAACTATCTATGCTCTTAATCATCTCACTGTTCAAAGTTCTCTAATCTTGTTTCAAAAACAAAAATGTTAATGATTTCTTATTTTTTCTGCTTAACCATGTCTCGAAATCCGTCCTCTACCCTTCCATCCTTTCACAGTTTTCTGAGGTAAGTCAGTGACTAACAAAAAGCCTTGCTGGACTTCGTGATGTTAATAACTGCTAGAATGAGAGGAAAAATCCTTGTCATAGCCGTATAATTAGCTACAGGCTCATCTGTCAACAATGCGTAAGAGTTCGCGATATTCCTATATATGTATAAATTATGACTCTTTTTGCTGACGCAATGTTGGCTCATAGAAAATTTGTTAGTTGTTTGCTGGCTACAACCATTGGACGAAACGAGGTGCGAAACCTTGATGCGAAAGTCTTTTTTACAGAGTTTTCCCGTACAAATCACTGGAATTCAATCGACTGGTCAACGCATAATCGTAACGGATTCACAGGAATCGGTGCACTTTGTTCGATATAGGAAATCGGTAAGCGGATGAACAATAGAATTTCTCAATAATTTGCGTAAATCATTCTTCAGGAGAATCAGTTGGTTATTTTTTGCGACGATACGACTCCACGTTATGTGACCACTTGCTGCGTTTTGGATTACAATACAGTGGCTGTTGGGGACAAATTTGGGTCAATCTCTATCGTGAGTTTTTAACTCTTACTTTATTTTGCGCTTTCATGCGTATTGGCGAGGGCTTATATCTTTTGAAATATATTATTTATCATATCCTGAAGAGGAATAACCATTTTCGATGACACGCAAAAATCAAAAACATAACCCGAGGATTTGCTCGGAACTCATAGCCTCAGAATAAACGATCGAGTTAATATCCTAAATCCGTGCGAGAATCAACTTCAGAAAACTGCAAAAAAAAAAGACTGGATTGAGAAAATGAAAAATGGATATCAAATTTCTCGAATAGCCTCAAATGCAGAATAGATCTTGAACATTGTTAGGAATGCCATAAGGGTGACGTAATCTACAAGCTTGAGGAAACAAGCGAAGCAAATCCCGTAAGTAGCAGGATTAGAGCCGAATGATGATGATGATAGAACGCTGCGGAAATAAGCAGGCAGTCGATTAGGCTTCATAGCGCTCAAAATCCTTTCCATTGACGGCTATTATGATTGTGATGATATTTCAGTCATCAAGAGTCATCAAATCTCAGAAAAGAATGTTCTGTTTACAAATCTTTGAATCTTCGCATTTCCTGTTGTGGTTGGAGCAGATAGAGCTGATGATGTTTGTTTGGAGGGAAATGAATATTTTCAAAAATGGTTCGAATTTGCATAATTATTCTATTTCGAATCATGATTCAGAGTAACAAACTCACAATAACTTCGAGGCGAGGGCGAAAGTCGAAATAATCTGTACTGTGATGACTTAGTCGACTAGGCTCAAGTTCTTAGCCGTCTGTTTGTGCAGACTAATGAATTTTTAATCCTCTGCGGGGGTGAGGTGGACAATTTTGGCATGTCCTTTGAGTGTATATCTGCGTTTAGAAAAAACAAAGAAGAGCAAGAATCTGCAGGCTGTATTAGCTTTGAGTTTGTCAAGAGATGATCCTTGTCAAGTGGCTTAGCTCTGAGAGGGATGACTAACTTCTAGTCCTAATCATGCTACTCAGCTTTCGAGGATTTTCTATCCAATACTTTTCTTGGCTAGGATTTCAATCAAGCAGGAAAGAGGCTATGAATTTCTGAGCTCTTGGTATGCTAGAAAAAAGTGGATTAATCAAGAATGTAGAATCAGCAGCGAAACTCGGGCGTATTGCACGTTTGAATTGCAATTTTTGAAAGAAGAAAGATATCGCAAAGTTTACAGAACCTAAAATGAGGATTGCTAAGTCGTATAG